GTGTGTTATTCCCCTGCGTCTCTGAGTTCTAAGAGAGCACAGCTGACACCTCAATGGGAGATGGTCGCTCTTTCACACAGTAATATCCTGCTTCTATTCGATGTTTCCAACCGGGCCTGCACTGGTTCTTAGAATATACTCATTCTGAAAATGTCACATTGACACACAGTGAATAAACCTTTTGAAACATGAACAAGAGAACTGTGCAGAATAATAAGAAAATAAAGCTAATGCATTCCAGCAGTCTAATGTGTGAGTACTTGATATCTATGTGCAGCAATCTTAAAAATTGACAGTGTAGTATCAGTGAATCAGATGCACATTTATCTGCCTCTGCTGTCAGGAAGTACAGCAAAGGAATGAAAATCATGTAATCCTAACCAGTATGAAGACAGACTGACATGCTAGTGTAGCTCTAGCCTGCACAGCAAACCAGAAGGCAGCAATTAAGATGTTAGGAGACAGGATCCACTCCCACTCACACACTCCAGCAGCCATCCGTGTGCAGGTGCTCAACACTGATGTAAATTCCAAGGACTCTGAATTACTGCTGGGTGAGAGAGTATTAAGCATACCACAGATGAGGCAACATGGGGCTGATGGAAAGAAAATTAAGTGCGAAACTGCGTTCTGGGAACAAAGGACAAAGAAAAACCAGCTAAGAAAAACACTGCAGAATTGAAAGTAGACTCAAAAGGAATATAGTGAGTGACCCTATTAAGTTGCTCTGCATGAGTGTCAGATAAACACTTTACATGTAAATATTAAATATAAATGTGGGGTGGGCTGGAGGCTCTGCTGCAGCGCTAAAATAGCAGTTGGAGTGCAACTTGGAGAGATAAGTGCTGGTGCTGTTCCTATCCTTTCCCTGTAATGTGGGATGTGACAGATGGCAGAGGGAAGTGTTAAAGCAGGCCACACAAGGCCCATTGCCTGGAGACACACACAGGCCTCTTACATTCCCTCTGCCTCATTTCACTTTGTCCGTTTGTCTCTAACTCTCTCTGGCTTGGCAGTGCCCTCTCTCCATCACAATAACCTATATCCCCCTGACACTTTCTCTTTCTTTACCTTTCCTTTCACATCTACTTCCTTTCTAAGGTTCCTTCTTAGCTCTTTAGTTAGCTATGCTAGCAACTAAGACGATGGTCTGTTGATTGGTGCCTCGCTTCAACTGAGACTGAAATATCTAAATATCAACTACTGGATGGACTTCCATAAAATGATCTGGAGGATACCCCAGTATAGCTCTGAACAGATTCCATGACCTTTGCTCTAGTGCCACAAATGTGTCCCCCTTCATGTTGTACTGTAATAGCTTTTAGTGATCCTTCATTTTTCCTTATGACCAAATACAGAACCTGCAAAACTAATGACATGCTTTGTGGTTAGATCTAATTACAAAATTAGTGTCATGAACACTGCTTTTATCCGATCCATTGAGGAAGTTCTTAGTGCACTATACAATACAGTGAATAGATTCACACACAAAGAGGTGAACACACTGTGTGGTGTAATGACTAGGGAGTGGTTTTGGACACAACCTTTGCCTTTTTCCCCCCTTCATGTTCAAATCACCACTCCTCTCATAGCCTCCCACTCTCAGGTCCCTAGTGCACTCTCGCATTAACTCTTTCCAACCTCATCCAAAACATGCATCTTATGTTCTGTCCAAAACACAGTAACTGTCTTTCAAACTTTCCAACACAACAACCCTCTTTTGATCGTTTTATTCTCACTCCCAATCTGTGCGCGTCTCAGGTTTTCTTTTCCCTGCATCAAATCTTTTCTGTTTCCTCTTTTGGCGCTACTTGACTTTGGATGCTCTGAGTCACCCTGTTTAACAGGAAAGTAATTATTTAACAGTTACTCTCAGGCAAGGCCACATCTATTCAGAGAGGGGAAGGAACACACACATATAGAAGCAGGTCACAGGCAGTCTGTCTCGAGGGCCTGTGCAAAGTGATCTGCCTCTGGACAGACTTCATTATCAAACACAGACTCCTGTTCAGCTGAAGAGCAGGTAGGTTTAGACTCTCATTTGAATTTGAACTGTCATACAACCTGTTATTTTAGGAACTCTCTCTGATCAGTTTCTAATGAGACATCAGTTATTCACTGAGATATTTAGGTGTAATTTTAGGTGCATGACAGTGACTTAACTTGAAACAGTGTAATACCAGTAAACATATAATAACCGCAATCTGTCCTATTTGTTGAATTGTTTTCTTCATAAATTTCTAGTGGTTTCACATGTTGTGGTTTTCTTTTTTGCAAAACACAGTATTTAGTATGTGTTTTTGTTTCACATCTAAATAGTCGCATTAACTAGTCAGAAAGATTTAAACCTCTGATGATCTCAACTTTACTCACAGCTGTGTGTTTCTTCTGCAGCATGGTTTGTTTGCATGACTAAGAGAGTGTTCAAGTGGGACAGACAACATATTGTTTCCTCGAGGCACCAAAAGCACAGTACAGCAATAATTACCCACAAGCCTCTGAGCGTCACAATAAGGCATAGTGGCAGACCACTGGAGTGAAACATGTACAGTTTTTAATTTATGTTAAATTATTATTCTGCTTTAATGCAATCCAAGTTAATTGCAAAAGGTCAGTGTATGCTCAGTGTGTTGCCAGCTGTGCTATCACAACTACTGTCAACAAGAATGATTCTCTGCAACAGAGCAGAGCTATTCAACCAGGATATATGCCATAACATACACTATATTAATCTGAAGCACAGTCTGCTTTGGTAAACAATGACTGAGGTTTGTAAAAGTGTATCACTGGGATCACTGCATTTGTCCTTAGTCCAGGAATACAATCAGTCTTTAGAGCGTCAAACAAATCATCCCCTTTCAAAGTGAGCTGTGTTTTTTTTTAAGTTTGTAGCTGTGAGGGAAACAGTGGATTTATGTTGTTTACACTGGATTCCAACAGTGGCATTACGTCTGTCAAAGGTTCACAGAAACCTCTCATAACACTTCTGCAGCACAATTCAGCTGTATGGGGACTGAAATAAAAGTGGTATATTCGCCAGTCCAACTTTTTTTCTCCTCATTCTTATACCTAAATGCACATTGCTGAGTACCTGTTTGACACAAGTGGTCAGTTTTTCCCAAATTTAAAATCTCTGTTACCACACTATGTAGTAGTCACTGGAAAACTTTACTGTATACTGTACAGTACGTAAGGTAATGTGAGGCTAGGGGTTGCTGTGAAACTAAGGGTGGGTGGCTTGCTGTGACTGAATGAATATAACTGGTAACAGAAACACTGCATTTTGTATTGACACTGACAAAGAAACTGCAACTAATGTGGATCAGTGTCATGACTGATACTCAATCTGCTTAATAAGGTCAGTATACCAACCTGGGCTTTTTGATTGACCCATCCCTAATATTTATTTTGGCAAAATGTAAGTGAAAAAATGAGGGGAAAAGTATTGAACATGTGGCTGAACAGCTGAGAAATTGTTTAATAAGTCTCTAATGAATTTTTCATACTTCCATAATGGAGCAAAAACTGCAAAAGCTTTATAGCCATTTTACAGCCATTAAAACCTACAGGGGGTGACTGGTAATAAAGAGACAGATATTGTCATGCAGTGTTATTTCTGTAGACATGTGAAGATAATCTCAACATGTGCAAGAAGTGACACTCCATACAGGCACAGACTGTAAAAATCAGAGAATGAATGGTCAAAAAACAAAAGGGAGACCACCAGAAAAATAATTCCTCCACCCTCTGGTTCCATCAACAATTCACCCAACATGAAACATGATATCTTGTTTGTAAGCAACAAATCAGCAAGCCTTCCTTTGTCCAATTTACCCCTTGCTGAAAGTCTGCCTCCACTTTATTCTTCTCACATGGCGCAAACCTCCTGCAGATAGTAAACACTTACAATACAGCAAATGACAACCTGCTTTTTAGTAGAAAATATATAGTAAAATATTTAAACTAATGGCCAGGATCTATTTTTGTAAATGGAGAGAGTCACACACCTTTCTGTTTACATGTACAGGCTGTACCTGTACATTTCACACTTTCACTTGGAGCATTTGATTTTTCTTTTGCCAACACACGCCACTTAAAGGAACGATAAGACATTTAGGGAAATACATTTATTCAGTTTTTTTTTTGTTGTTTTTTTTGCACAGAGTTAGATAAAAAGATAAATGTGGACTATTTCTGGATGACTACTTGGCATGGCACAGCAACTTACTGGAGTCTCAGCTGGTTGCCTGGCAACCTCACAGCAATTTCCTTCAAAAAAAATTGGTCATGCATATAACCCACCATAAAACCCCAACTTGACATTTACATACCTTTTGTACAGATTAAACAAACAAGACAAATCATGTTGATCAGTGAGCTTTAGTGCTGCTGGTAGGTGGATGTTGTTACTGTGTGAGAGATCCTCATTTCCAGTCATTTATGCTAAGATAGACTAACCAGATATTAGCTGTAGCTTCATATTTAGGATACAGCCTGAGAGTGGTATTGGTAATCTCATAGTCTTGGCAAGACAGTGAACAAGAAAAATTTCCCAAAATGTCAAACTATTCCTTTAAATAATTCCTTTATGAATTTGCCACCTAATATTTGAGGGTGGGCAATGTTTGGATTGGATAAAAATCCCAAATGATCATCAATAATAATATATAAATCAATAGGTTAGAAAAATACAGAAAAATATAAAAAGACATACAGTATGTAGATGCAGAAATAAATCGTACAGCTCTACAGTGCAGAGTTATTTTTCCTCCTCTGTCTCACCAATCATGTCCACATGCTGTAAGATGATGAGGATTGCTATTTTTAATGGCTATCCTAGATTCATTTACATAAATTTTAGAATTAATGTTCATTTACTAGTAGGAGAAACCAGAAATAGCATCTGTGGAAAGAAACATGACCTGTAGATGGATTTCCATTAATCCTATCTCATTGTGGACCATGAGAAAGGGAGCTGTCTGTCACTGCTTGTACCTAAATGAAACCTCACTGGCAGACACTGACACTGTACTTTTACCACCTCAGGGCCTACAGTGGGCAGAGCTGCAACTGAAGCCCACTTGGATCTGGCACACCTTTTGATGTTTATTGTATTTTAGTAAATGACTAGAACAAAAGCTTGAATATGGAATTTAAATTATGGAGGAAGTGGACATTTTGATGAAGTATTATTTCTCTAGCATTTTATAAAAAAATGTCACTGCATTGCTCATTTGCTGAACCTAATAAGAGGTTTCTTGGCTATTTTAAGTGTAAAAGCCATTTCATGTGGTCTGCATGTAGAATAAAACAGGAAAGTGCATGAATGGAGGGTGAAGGCTCTAAATTAGACTCTTCACTTCTCAGAGGTGCTGGAAAGCACACTGTAAAGACAGAGAATGACTCAAAAAATAACAGAGTTACATAGTTGAACATTCCACTAATTTTTTACAACAGAACATGAACAATTTTTATGGTGCCAGAACAAGTAACCACTCTTATTTGGCAGTATCATCAGTCTTACCTCCATAAAAGTCAGGTACCTCCCCAGGCACTGATGCATCTGCAACAAAAGACATTATGTCAGCATTTTAAACCACGATGCTCATTTCAATCATTTCCTGTACTGTACATCTAAACTGCAGGTATATTTCTCTCACTTCCCACAGTATACAAAAAGAAAAATGGATTGAAACATATCATTTATCCTCATGAGAGTTTCTTCAGAATGGTGCAGGCTTTTGATAAAAATCCCTTTTTTGCTACAGAGAATGTGATGAAACCCTGCTTTGGTCTGAAGGCCATCTCTGTGAAATTCACTACTGTACATCCTGGCCTTCACAATAAAATACAAAACTCAAAATGTCTGCACTTGGCCTCGGTGGTTTAATTACTCTGGGTTGTGGTATTCAAACTGTTACCAATGTACATTCACAGAAGGGGTGAAACAACAAGTGATTAAAAACAATAATAATGACGGTTAAATACGTTTGCATCTTTATGAAGTGTATTTTAAGCATCACTATGGTCCAGCTGAACAAGAGGAAAGCCCACACATGCTATATTTGTAGGATAGTGTGTGCTTAACTTTAGTTCTGCTGATTTAGCTTTAACATCACGTTAACCATCAATTTTATCCTTTTTGGAGCACAACAAAAATGTCAAGCCATTGTTCTCTACCTGGAATCTGAGATTGCTGACCGGCTGCAGCTGTACATACACAACTCTATAAACCTAAAGTACAGTATGTGTATGGTGCAACCATGTATATGTGGTGTATATGTGGTTTATCATCTTATTCCTTTTCTGTAGCTGTATCCAAGAAGATTTCCACAAGATATTCTAAGCTTAAGCTCTAGTGCTGCCAAAACCTTTGGTGAACTCAGCTACAATGATACAAGTACCTTCCCATGTAATAAAAAAGGGGGAAGAAGAAAGATAAATCTCTTAGATCTCTCCTGGAAAGATGTGATGAGAAGCGAAGCGAAATTCCAATCCAAGCCCTAATTTTTTTGGTTCATGTCAAATCCAATGTGAAATAGGTTAGTAGCCTACGGTATGGTTTCACAAGCATATTAATATCCAAGCTGCCTGCTACCTGTGTGAATTTTTATGCTCCGTAAAGGAACCACTAATCAAAGTTTACCTCTGTTTCTATATGAGAAACAGCAATGGCAGATTCTGAGCACCAAATAAATCTTGGACAACTGGATTTTTGGATGGTGATACTTGAAAAATGAAGTGCTGCTTCCTGACAATGTTTAAAAAGAAACATCTCATAGAGCAAAGTACTAATACTGCTGAACGTGTTACAGCACTTTGTTGCCAAATAAGTCCAAATTTTGTGATTTGCATTTTTTTTGTGAGCTGAGAAATGTAATAGGGTCACACAAACATTCACAACAACTGTACATAAACATAACAGTTACATTAAAAAGTATGACTGGGGTTTCTACATATGTGATGCCTTCATCAAACAGCAATACTGTGTCTCAAACTATCTTTTAAGGCTTTTTGTGAATTTGTTTAGTTATTCTGTTTCAGCTGATGTGCTACTGACCTGCAGGGGAGAGTGACAGGACCAGGAGATGGGGGAGCAGGATGAGGTGCAGCATGATGCTGAAGTGAGAACCACCTGGTGGGGTTATAGCTAGAAGCTCATCTGAAGGAACATTAGCAGGATGGCCTGGTTTTCCTTAAAGAGATGGAAGAAAGTGGAAAGAGAGACAGAGACCAGTCGGTGAAGGAAAAAACGATGCTCTTGTTTGCTGAAACTGTAAATTTACAGAAATATGATAACACCACCACCCTCAATGCTGAGTTAGCTGAGCGGGCATCTCGCTGCTAACTCTTTGCCATTAAGCACACTGGGGCATCGACAGAAGGAATGACAATTTCTCCATAATGACTGAAAATGAAATTATACTCCTTAATCCTGTCAGGGCCGCTCGGCGGCCGCTGCCTCTCCTCTGTCTTTCTCTCCTCTGCTCTCTCTATCCTGTGGGCTCTGCACCTCAGCTGTGTTGCATTCCAGTAATTAGCAACTGGTTTGTCAATGCACACAGCTGGGGTGCATCCCGATGATTACCTTCGCCTCCTTATATAAACCTCTGGCAGACGCTCCGGCTTTGCTGGAACATTAACCAAGTACCGCGTAATGTATGTAGATAGAATGCTACGCTGACAGTTTCTGTGCGTTTTGGCTTGACTCTATCACACCACTTATGCGGTTAGCAATACGTGCCTTTGTTTTCCGCGCTGACGGTTCCTGTGCTGTGGATTGCATTGTGTACACTGGTCTTTTTGTTCTTTCACCTGTCCGTCTTCATCTTCCTGCCGTTTTGGTTTTTTGCGTCAGTCCCTGGATTCCCCTGTTTGTTTCCCTCCACCATCTCTACTCTACCTGGACTTTTATATACTTGGACTTTGTTATGTTCTTTTGATACTCTGTGTTCTTTTGTAACCAGCAACCAACATGTTTTTTTCCTAGCACCTGGGTCTGCAAACTTGAGCCCAACCTCAGTCCTCCCTCACCCTCCTGGTGAGAGGGGCTGCCATAACAAATCCATCGTCTTCATATCATTCATTTAATTATATTCTAAATCAAATCAGAAATGTTTGGTGTGTTTAAGATAATCTTATTAAACAAAACACAGAATACCATTAACAAGCAAAGATTCTCAATGTAGAGGATATTTGATAAACCATGTCAGTTTATATTGTAGCGACCTCCAGTGCGGAGGAGAGGAGCGAATGCTAACTGGGCAGCTGCTAGCTAGCGGGGTGCTAGCTCCTACGATAAGACTAACACTGTTGCGACCGGGCTCTATGCACCGCGCAGCTTTACAATCCCTCAAGGATCACACCTCCACCTTCTATTATTGGCACCATGTGCGCCCTCACCCTGAAATGCTCTTCAGTGGCGTAATTCACCGTTCTCAACTCACACAGTCAGCCAGCTCTTTGTTTACTTTTTTTTCTCCATCACAGCAACTACAGACTTCCCACACACACACAGGCATAATAATACAGCAAGAAAAACACATCCAATCGAACAGCAGTCAACAGGTTTGAGCATCGAATGATCGATGCAACCCAACAGTCATTTTTAACCCCTCAAAATACAATAACAAGAACCGTAAAACACAATGACTCAGGATTATACCACAATATTGCGGTAACTATTTACACATTCGCATAATGCTTGCCGCTGCCACTAACCCTCCCGCTGGCTGGCATAGTCATCACACAACCCTCCCCCAAGAGGGTTAAGTGTCCTCACAACCCTCAGTCCACCAAACTCCTGGAGATGAGGAGCCCAGCCCCTAACCCGTCTCGGCCCTCCCGAGACTCTGCCCCCCGGGTCAGGCCCCCCCATCAGTCCATCAGAGGATGTCTCCACCGGTGCGGGTCCTGATCGGCCTACCTGACCCTCCCCAATTTCTGGTGCAGGGGCCAACGGATGGGATGGTGCCAACCGGTCCTTATGAAGCACCACCCT